CTCAGGGAACACACACAGAGGTCTGAGAACTTGCCTGTAAAATAGAGAGCTGTGTCCTGCCTACACCACACTGCCTTTGATCTGCACAATCTTCCCACAGTGCCTGCAGAGCAATCCCTACTACCTTCTCTATATGTTTAATACCAGAAATCTGGGAGAGGGAAAAAAGTTTCCCCGTTTTTATCCTGCCAACTGTTACAGAACAAGTCACCCTTGTACAGACAAAAGAACCTTTCCATAATAGAATGTTTAAGAGGAGGTAAATGACTTCTGAACTGTATCCACATGTGTCTGCTGCAAGACTTGCATCACTGTTTTTACTGGAATTAGTATTTTTTGTTAGAGTCATTTCAGTTCTCTCTCAAGGTCCCCTCTACTCTATTTTGGTTCTCTTTTCATCATTGATTTAAACCTGGCTGGAATCAAGACTTTTCTATTTTTGTCTATTTGCTTTGGACAGCTTTCCAGTAATCTAGGAAGGTAGACAAGCAGGCAGACTTTGCCACTATTATCTGAAAATCAAGTTAAAACTCTATTTGCCTGAAACACACCTTTAGATACTGCCCCTATTAATCATGTTTTTGTTTAAAACCCTACGAACTTCCCAAATCCACACTGTAATGCTGTGAGGTCCAAGTCAAAAGGTCTTGACACTAAAAACAGACTTTCATACCTGCAGAAACACAAGGTTTGGCTCTGACAAACCCTCTCCGACCACCCTATCCCTCCTGTTGGTGCATTTTTCAGTGTCGGCCACGTAGGACAGCTTGAAAGCAAGTTGCTTGCTTCCATCTCTTCCACACACCCTGGCACTCCCAGTTTAAAATTAAAAAGGGTGCAAACGCTTGGCTCATCATGTTTTCAGCTCAAGTCTGAACGCAGGGAATGTTAACATGGATTGTAGGCCCCCACCCAAATCCAAAAATTGCTGGATTGTAATTGTAATGTAAATAAGTCTGTTCTCATAATTGTCCTCTCCAACTTGTTCCAGCAGCAAAACAGTCATCCTATATGTTGTGTGACCAAGGCCAACTGGTTTCAAAACAGGAGAGCTGGGAGCCATAAAGGCAAGCCTGTGTTCCAGCTGTGTGGATCTTGATCCTGGATCCTACACCTGCAAAAATCACTTCTGACAAATCATCCTACCAGGGACACAGTAAAAAAAAAATAAAATCTAAAAATATCTGAGCCTCAAGCTTTATATAAAAGCTTTATTTGGAATCTTGAGTTTTTACACACACTGGAGAGATGCATTTTTGTGATTATCTGGATTCAATGAAAACCAGTCATCAAAAAGCTATTTAACTGCACTCTCTGACAAGGCAACAGTTTGAGTGTGAAAACTGAAAGGACTCGCCCAAAGAATAAGCCGCTTTTTAGAGTTAAAGTTTGCAACACTAAAATCTTCTATATGCGGAAGTCATGGTGATTTTTTTTTCTAATTTATTACTTGACTATTTTATGTACAATAAGATTATAAAGATGGTATCAGTCAGGTTTAACTTGACTTGTATTTCAGACACCGAACCACCCCTACACTTCGGAACCATAACCGCTCAAGTTTCATGTTCTCTTTACTCCGCGTAAAGGAGGCACCAGTTTACCATTCATCAAAGGCAGGAGCAAAAAAACCCTCCAAAGTACTCTGCACGGGTACCAATTACAATGTGTTTACTGAGAGAAGACTTGCACAAGCGCCTAATTATGCCTTCTCCTGCATTATTGCTGTAACACACTGCCCCATACCATATGCTGATCAGACCTGGCTACAGACAGACGACATTCTGACTAGACACAGTATTTTAAAGACTTTATTAATAATTTTTTTTTTTTACGCATCTAAAGTACATGCTTAGTCACAGGTACAAAACCCACAATATAAAATAAAATATAAATAAACAAACAAAAAATAAAGTGCATGTTGTAGTTCACAAAGCCCAGGGCCCTGAACCTACTCTCCAGGCTAAAGCCCGTGGCAACAGCTCTGTGGCACAGCCCGCACGGCAGCAGATTTAGGTCCTTCTTCATTAAAGGAGCGAGATGAGAGCAGAGACGGGAGAACAACCATCCCTTGAAACCGCAGCAAAGAGGAGGAGCTTGTCAGAAACGTCGTATTTAAAGATTTTTGACACAAACGTTGATTTTGTTGAAGTGTCTTGAAAAACATGCAGATTTCTTTAAACAAGGGGGACTCGCTGCCTTAGCAACTTCGAAATTACCCACATTTGACGATTGCCCAATTTTCCAGAATTCCAAAATTACATTCTATTTAAAAAAAATATTCTTCATAATTCAATGAGTTGATGTACTAACACATATCCACGCCGAACGAACGGCTGATGGCTCTCACTTTATTTTTAATCATTGTGAGACCAGATCTGGACCAGCCTTGACAGTTCAAGAGCCCGGGTGACGTGCTCAGCTCTGCGTGCTGGTGGCAAGCTGTCCTGTTCTGCCCTTGCCACCTGAGGGGAGATTTGCCTGTGGGGCTATGGAGACCACCACACTTCCATGCTTTGCTCAGACTGTAAAATATTCTTGTATGAACTGGAAGCATCTCACCTTAAAATTGGTTTGGGACCTAAATGGATGCACAGCTGCCTGCAACTGCAGCACAGGCACCTCTGAACTGGAAGGTACTTTAGGCAAAGGCTGCACAGCAGGTCCCCAAGCTTAGTTGAGATCTCAAAATGTTCATCATGCAACAGTTACTGCTCCAAAACAGAGATGCTGGTACAGATCATCTAACAAACTCTCCTAAGAGAAACTTGCACACTCAAATGTGAATGACTTAGTCCTGCTTCCACCAAAGTCAGTGGTAGCCCCATTATCAGCTCCCAAGGAGAACAAAAACATGAGGGTGCACTGTTCCTCCCCCTAGTTCTCCACTGCAGGCCTGAAGACTAACTCAGTCTGAGCACAACCACCACGATTCAGATGCAGCCGTATCTCTTCTCCTCTTTGATACTTCCTATGCTCACAACACTGAGCCACATGTTGAGATGATGTAGCACAACAAACTTCTGGACTCACCTTAGTTCTGTGTGCACAGCCAGGGAGGCTAGCCCCTGTGCAACTGCAACCCTGCTAAGTCATCTATTTCAGCTGGACCTGTGCAAATGGTACACAAGCTACCATGTTAAGCAGCGTTCCATATGTACCAGGTGAATTTTTCTTACTGAGATCACCATAACCCAGACCTTTGCTGACACACTGGCTCTTCTCTCACCTCTTCAGAAATTCCGAAGGACCACCATTCCTTCATGCAGCCTTTCTCATACAGGCTCTTCACTGCACTTCATCCATCACTGCCACCTGGCAGTAGCAGAGATCTCCACAGCAGACTACAAGAACGATCTTCCCCACGAGTAGATTTCTGTGCGCAACTGGAAGACCTCCAGCAATGGGGTGATGTTTGTCCCCTCGTCTTTTCAAAACTAGTAGTGGTCTCTCCTGCCTGGAGAGGACTCCAGGCTGTGGACATACGCCCGGAGGCAAGGACCAGCAGGGCAGCAGAGAGGTCTGGAGTTTGTATAGTCCTTTCCCATCCGTAAAGGTGCTCTTTCTACTGGGCCTTGACCCCACACCATTAACTTTGGTGCAGCTGGGGGCAAAGGCTGAGTTACAGTCCCCTGCTCATAACGGAGCCTTGGGTTTCTGCACAGCAAACGCGCAGAGGTTGGAAACTGAGGCCAAGTCAGGAGAATCCTCTCCTGTTTGTAGGGGGTTTTCGGTTCCCCTGGCCAATGGAGCAACGGAACTGCTGGAGGTACGAGATGAGCTGGTGAACACCCAAGAACGTCCCAAGGGAGAAGTCCTCTGCCCACAGTGGGATCAGACTTCGACGGGCTTTTCCCACAGGGCAGCGGTGCAGCAGGTGGTGAGAGCTGAGCTGGCTTAGGAGCAGTCCTACACAGGCAGAGTCCTTTCCTGCCTGCAGAGCAGTCCTGTGTTGCAGGACTCGCCCCACATCTTGCTGGCGCAGATGGAGATAGGGGCCTGGCTGGCTTGCAAGCTCCCCTAAACCAGAAGCGTCTTTTCCTGCCTGCAGGACGGTCACCTAAGCACACAGTTAAAATCCGTATCAGGAACAACTGAGAAGTCCTGCTCTGGAAGCAGGAAAGTAAGAGACTGTCAGGAGTGATGTGGACATCAGATAAGGGGTGTCCACCCACAACATACATTCAAGAGAGACTCCGTGTTCAGAAAGCATTGGACATGCTCCCCCTGAAGTTTCCAGTCCCTGCGCTGGGCATCCAAATCAGTCACTGATGAAAACATTGCCTCTATCATTTACTCAGAAGATTAAAGGCCAAGGAGGATCCTTCAAGATGATGACAATCATACACAATGCCACTAAACCAAGGCTCTTGGCCAGAAGACCATTGTATTGCATACGCTAGAATCGATTCTGAACTGTCTTCCACTGAAAACAAAACTCTGAATCATAGTACATGTGGTTGGAAATTTTCAAAAGTTTTCAAACAAAAGAGGAAAGAAAATTTTCAATGGAAATCTGTCTGTGTTTTGGCCAGTTCTCACAGAGCACCCAAATTTAACCCCTCTAAAAGAAGATTCATCAAGAATTCAGAGGTAAATGCTGAAATAAGATTTAGTAATGGGAGCCTGCCATTGGGCACAGCCAACCTAAGGTACCACCTGGCAAGCAGGGACAACAGTACCAGTTTCCATCGTTCACTATCCTGAATTGTCCTACAGATGTGGATGAAAAGCAAGATTATGGCATATGATCCCGTTTACCTACAAGCATCCCCACCGGCCAAGCACTTCATACAAAGCAGCTGAACACACTGCAAAGCTACATTCACTTCTGCTTTAGGTTTCTAAACAGCCCCTGATCATCCCTCTGAAGATAACTGAGCAAAATCAAATACATTTTGATGGCAAAATCTGGACATGACACAGCAACAAATGCTGAATCTCTGCCTAAATAACTAAGAAAATATAAAGCAGTCTTTTTCTTTCCTTTTGAACTAGCAGCAAAGGAAGTCACGTCACGGTTCAAGTAGAGTTGTAATCAAAAATGCAACACTTACATTTTTTCATAGAGGCACTTGCATCCAAGAACGGGTGATGAAAAAATTCATCTGAAAAAAAATCAAGCACAATGACTCAGTGAAAGGAAATGACTGTAAGAAGTTTACAAAGTAGTTAAAACATGGCAAGTTACAGTATTTCACAGTGATTTTTCCAGGCAAACTAGTCAACCATGGAAGCTAAATGACTGCAGTTGTGTATAGTAGTGGTCAACAACGCAAGACTGGGGACCAGATGCAGGACTCACACACAAAAAAAGGATGGGAAGTTATTTGGATCCAGAGATTGCTATGTAAGTATGGGAAAAAAAGAGCAGCTCCTCTGCTATCAGCCATCTCTGCAAAATCAGCTGGGGATGGGGCAGGGCAGAGAAGGGAAATCAGCTGGCGTAATTACATGAATGAAGAAAGAGAGGTAAAAAAAAAATATCTCTGCCAAAAGCATGGCCAAAGGACATGTGGGTTTGTACCTTGAAACTCGCCACCATTACTTATGGATTTTCCTTCCCCACAGGACATTAAAGAAGTTAGTAAGGTTTTGCTGCAATCTACAACCCTAGGCTGCTGGTGAGAACACACCAAATTAATTGCTAATGTTCTTCTGTCTTGCAACAGCTCTTACACTTGTAGGAACGGGAATTGGTTATTGAAGGCCAGACAGTGTGACTATGCCAAGACCCAGCATGGCCACGTCTGTGCATGTGCATCAAAAGCTCCTTTCAGCAACAACAGAGAAATCCTAAGGTGCAAAGTAGCACTAAAAGACAAAGTCCCTGGCTGGTCAGGATGACAAGTCACCCTAATCCTAAGGATCCAGAGGAGCTGTATTTATCCCACTGTGCTGCCGCTCATTCCACAGAAGAGGAACGACAAACAAAAGGACTTCCATTGAGTGATCTTCCATTGCATGCTGTTCTGGTTTTGGTTGGGACAGAACTAATTTTCTTCATAGTAGCTAGTAAGGGGCTATGCTTTGGATTTGTGGCTTTTCTGCTTCTCTCACAACCCCACCAGTGAGTGGGCTGGTAGTGCACATGAAGTTGGAAAAGGGGACACAGTGAGACAGCTGACTAACTGACCAAAGGGATATTCCATACCATATGACATCATGATGAGCATATAAAGCTGGGGGAAGAAGGAGGAAGGGGTGGACGTTTGGAATGATGGCATTTTTCTTCCCAAGTAACCATCACACATGATGGAGCCCTGCTTTCCTGGAGAAGGCGGAACATCTGCCTGCTGTTGGGAAGGAGTGAATGAATTCCTTGTTTCGCTCTCCCTGTGCACGCAGCTTTTGCTTTACCTATTAAACTGTCTTTATCTCAGTCCAGGAGTTTTCTCACTTCTACCCTTCCAATTCTCTCCCTCATCCTACCAGGGGGGAGTAAGAGAGTGGCTAGGTGGGGCTCAGTTGCCAGCTGGGGTTAAACCACAACACCCACAGACCCGAATCCATCATGCACTGAAGGCAGAAATGCGTTTTCTAAAATGCCACCACAGAACCACAGCCCAGAACTCCCTTCCTTTCGCACCAGATGTAACTGCTGCTTTCTTCTGTCAGATCTCTACAGATCCAGACCAGGAAAAACTTCTGTCCTGGCTTGCTGGAAACTCTCTGTATGTTTGCCTGTCCTCAAAACTAGCCACCCCTCCTGACTCCGTCTCTGATCCACTGCAGCTCTATGCCAGAGTCCTCTCCTATCACAATCAGCAACTCAGCCTTTAGTCACAGATCAACACTGATTATTTGGCTAACTGCAGGCAGTTCAACTTGTTTGCCCAGCATGGATTTCCTGTTGCAACACCCAAGGTTTACAAACTTCTGCTTTCTGTAAACAGCTTCTCTTTGGCCAGTGAGCTTTCCAGAAAGCAGCAACTGGGTTTTGTGTTTGTCTGCTTCTTAAACTTAAACAACCCCTCTTTCCACCAGCCCCTCCTTGCCACTGTCATGGCAGGGTCCTGCAGCCAGAGCACACTGATCTGGAGCTCAGCACAACAGAAGTGATGGAAATCTCTGGCAAGGAAAGCTGGAATCTCACAGATTAGATCTGCTGTGGATGAAGAACATCCCTATCCTGCTGGGAGCTGCTCAGATGCTGAAGTTTCCTGCTTCTTCTTCAGCCTGCTCCTCTAGAAGGTACTATCCCTCAGCTGAGCTGATTCTACTGAGGGGATGGAAATGATGATTCCTTTCACTTTTCCTCCTCCCCTGTTGAAGCTCAGATGCTTCAATAGATTTGTTAAAGAGTCAGAGGAGAGGACACAGGGGTGGATGAGTCCAAGAATGCAACCAGATGCTGAAGAAGCATATTGGTCTAAAAAAATCATGGCTCTGGTGTTTGCTTTCCTCTCAATCAACAGGATATTACAATACAACATGTGATGCCAGAAAACCATCGAGATCTGCCTTCTATAAAGCACAAGGAACATCTCAAATACAGGCTTCTGTACAGAACACACTCACAAACCCTCCCTGAGAAACAATTACATCTTATGAGGACATGCCAATTTGTAGAGAAAAGGATCCCACATGTGATTAAGGGCAAGCAACAATCTCAGTGCAGCAAGATGTACTGTAACTGTTGTCCTGAGTGAAATCAAAGTATATTACCTCAGATTTCCAAGTGTTAGACACTGACTCATACAGTCTACTCCCAAGAGGTACAAAAACAGCTTACAGGGGGCTAAAAATGTTTACCAGACTCAATTTCTGACAGCAGGGAAACAGGAAGCTTAAAGATATTTTCTTCTGAAATGTAAAGCAACATGATAGAAGAGACAAAGGATCCACAGCCCAGATAGAAGATCTGCATGGAACAATACTGCTTATATCCAAGTCAGTCTATCAGGAGCTTCAACAACTCCCTTTTCAAGAGGCTTGTTTTCTTACTTCTGCACCCTTGTCATCAGTAGTCCTTTACATTCAGCACTGGATAATTATGATCAGCCTCGGTTAACCCTCACACTTGCTTCACCCAGGTGACACTGTCCCCAGAAAGGCTTTCCCAGTGTCTCTAATCCAAAAGAATAACAGAGGCTGCAAAATAATTTCTCTTCATCAACTTGCATATACTGCCCAGCAGGAAACAATCCACCTGAGCAGACAAGCAACACAAAAAACAAAAGAAAACCAACTCCCAAAAGACAGAAATATCAAACTCTTTTACCCCAAGCCTGACTAAAAAGGAACATCCTGAAAACAGAGCAGTACACTATATTTTCAGTTAAAAAAGCAACATCTGTGCAGAAAGCAGAAAGCTTTATGACTTGCTGTGGTGCTGCCCACCTGATACTTAACACAAATCTGTGGGCTTTGGCATCGCAGCTTTGTTTCAAGAAAACCACTTGAACAGGCTTGCCCAGCACCAAACCTGACACAAACACAGACCCCGAGTGCAAGCTTACCCTTTCCACCAGCAGCACTGGCCCATGGAAGCAAAGCTGCTCCCTGCTGTTCTCCTCTGCACTCAGAGGGGACACACCACCAGGACCTACTTCCTTGGTGAGAATGAATATTCGCAGCCTGAATTTTACCAGAAAAAGGTCTAGACTATCTTTGCCCAACGGGAGAGGGGAGGTGGGGAGAAGAGTAAAAGACCATAGAGTTGTCTTTAGAGAACCTGGTCCTTTTAGGGGCTCTAGGAAAGGTTCCATCTCTGCCTGCTTTCCTTTAGGGCATGGTGTCATTAGAGGTTCTTCAGACCTTTTGGCTCAGCTATATACATCTGGAAGAGGCTGCCAAACCCACAATTGCCTGGCACATAATGATTGTTCTCAGTTTAGAAGGAATTAAAAAAAAAAAAAAAGGAAAAAAAGGAAAAAAAGGAAATCTTCATGCCAGCCAAGTCAGGAGACCGAGACACAGGTCCACAGGCAGAGCAAAGAGACTGCCAGCTTGAGCCCTGATGAGAACCAAGGCATCCTTCCATAGAAACCTGGAGAAGGAGGGAAAGGTTTGCAAGCAGCTATTGTCTCCTCACTTGGATCACTGTAGTCCCTGAGAAAGGGACACTATCATCTAAATTGTTCATTAAACGGGTGCAGCTTGCAGCTTTGGGAAGGAACTATGACAGACAAAGAGTATGGATGCACAAGATACACGTCTCACCTGGTAGCATACTTAACAGAATTTCAGAGAGCTTATAAAAGCAGAAGCCAGGAGAGGGGATGCGAGTAAGAAACATTTGCTGAAGGTGTGCCAAATCTCTGGGTTTACAAAACTGTATTGGAATCAGCACTGACCTTTCCAGCACATACTAAAAAACCCGAGGTTGTACAATCACCCAGACACAGACAGGTGAAACCAAAGCATCTGGATGCTTCTTGCAGCACTAGCCAAAAGTACAGAGGTTTGTGCAGTGCCATGGCACAAAAGAAGACACAGGCAGCAGAACTAAAACTGGAAGGAGGTCTTACCAAAGTCCATGCGATCCTTATGATTACGCTGCAAAAGGCCCAGCAGCAGCTGCCTCAGGTGGCTTGATGTCTCCCTGGGGATGCTAGGATTGAAAACAAAAGCAAAATAAGAGAGACTTGCAGTCTACTTAAATTGCTTTTACATATTCAGGAAAGCAACCCGCAAATGCAAACTCACTTTGTGCCTGCTAGGCTAGGAAGGTAACAGCCCACTGGAGAGAGGCTGAACAGGAACATCTGTATTTGCATCTGTTTGGCTTTTACTCCCCATTGTCATTGTTAAGACTACAGCTAATCTAGCTTTAACGGCCTCTCCCATGAGCACCTGCAGATCCTTGATCCTTCCCTTCCACAGGAGCACCCATGTCATCCCTGTAGTTCTCAGCTAAATCCATTCAATATACAATATTTTGCACATGATAAATAAAATCCCTTCTACTTGCTCTGACAGGAATAAGGAGGTCATTAAAATGAAACAGTTACCAAGGGGAAGCTTCTAATTCAGACACTGGTGGTGAAAAGTATCCCCAATTACTACCATTTTATTAAGGCATTTCTTTTTCAATGCAGCTTATGTAAGACTAGCAAGCGACCTTTGTCTGTTTGCTTCCTTCATACACAGCATTTATTAGCTGAAGGCCGCTAAGATGTGAGCAACTGCCACCCGAGCAAGCTAAAACTAGTGCAGCTATTACTCCACTATCCAGCACAGCTACAAAGAAAACACTTTTTCCAACAGCCATTGCAGCACAAGAGCTAGTGAATTACTGCGCCCTCCCTCACCCCACAAGCAGATGGGGGAGAGGTCAGAGCAGCTCTTCACAACCCCAGTAGATTGCAAGAAGCAGGGAATAAATGAACAGATTAAGGCAGGGAAAGCAGAGTTCAGCTCTTGCATAAGTGGATTCGGCTCTGCTGACTTCCCTCCCCAACCAGAAGCGTTGTCGGGGGCTGTAGCAGCCAGAGCAGAGCTCTCTAAATTAAGCGTAGGTGGCTCCAGCACTTTTCAGCATTGACTTTGTTTACCATGGCTGTGCCCAGCATGGCCCCCACGGTCTGCCAGGCTTTCCCCTCTCCTCATGTGTGGGTCAGTCGAGGTAATGGCATACGTGCTCAGCAGAGGAATTTTAACTGCGTGGAGCCCCAGCCTGCTGCATGGCACAGCGCGGGGCTCCGCTGTGCTGTGCTGGCATCACTCACTGCCCCGAAGCCAAGCTCGACTGACACTGGGAGAGAGAAACAACCCTTCCTGCATCATTTTCACCACCTGTACCCCTGCTACAAGTCAGGGTAAAAAAAGAAGCTGGGACAAAAATAGTAGGGGGGAAAGAGGTGCTAGCTAGCACCAACAGACTCTAGTTCAGCGAAACTAGAGATGGCAGGCAAGGTGTGTATTTATAGGTTTCAATACTACCCAGTTATTTTTCTGTGAAGCCCTAGGCCTTGCTGGCACAGGAATTTGAGCCCAGTGATTCCTAGAACAGAGAATGATGGCAAGCATCCCTCATCCTTGTTTGTACTGGAAGAGCTGCATTTCCATTCCTGACACTGGAATGGTTTCGTGCCCCTTCCCAGGCCAACAAGGGAAGCAGCCACCAGGACTCCAGAAGGGACCCAGTTAAACTGAGACTCAGTTTGAGCCAAGGAAAAACGCCCTCTTGTCAAAAAAGGGGTGCCTTAGAAGTACACTGCGTAACAATAGCCCAAGATACCACTGCTAGCAGAGTCTCCTGAAAAATACATTAGTGCTGGAGACCTGCAGTCCTCCAGTGTTATGGTCATAATTTATTTATCCATGACACACAAAGCTCTCATCCAATATAACTCCATTTCCCAGCAATGACTTTAGCTTTTGTATGGTTTTCAAGCCAAGAAACAGGAAGGTCAAGCAGTAGACCTTGGATGTCACAACACAGACCGAAGATGGTGCAGATTAACAGCCTGTTTGTCTCCTCTGATCTCTCACATCTAAAACATCAAGCCTTGCTATGCAAACTCACAGTATTATTTTCCAAGGCCATCTGTTTAAACGTAAGTAACAAAACTGCCTCCTTCCCCGCCATGATCTAGAACGTACTTTGCCATGCAAATCGGCACAATGAACGTCCGCCATTTAGATCGGCGCTATTAAAACTGTGAGGCCTTCGGGCTTTCTGCTGCTGACATGGGCTCCCCACCTCGGAACGGCATTTTACCTGTCAGCAACAGCAGCAGCCCAGCAGGCACAGACCGCTGATGAACATTCAATGAGCTTTTCTTCCCCACCCTGTTCCCAAGCCAAAACATGGCACTTTCCATGGCGATGCCAAGAGGTGGGTGCCAGCCTGCTCAGCCCCAAGGAGAACAAAGCCAAATCCTGGCAGTGCTGCAGCCTGAGGTCTCTGGAGTGGCTTCGCGTTTCGTCTTGTGTTGGCGGGCTGGCGGAGGCCGTTTATTCATGTTTACTCAGGAAATAGCACAGATTGTGGCTCACGTCAGAGAGACAAACTGACTCGGGAAAGCGGGCAACCATCCTTTACCCAAAGGCCACTGACTTCTACAGTGGAAAAAACAATGGGCTTGGATCTAAATTTTGGAGGAATTTGGTAGTTAAAAAGTGGAGATAAGTGAAAATGGTAAACTTAGTGTGTGTAAAGGACTTGCAACAGAGGACTAATCCCTACAAGAGCAGACATGCTCTCCTCTTACAGCCAAGTTTCATTTCTCCCCTCGCCTGCCTCCTCCTGCGCGTGCCATGAGCCAAAGTGGCAGCAGAGCAGCATGATCAACACAAGGAAGCTTATTAACTGTAGGTAATAATCTATCTCTTAGTAAGAGGGACTACCTCAGAGGTGGGCAATCATGTTTTAGGCAGTGTAGGGGAAACAGAACCTCTTCTTTCTGCTCACACAGACTATCTGGCCCCAACTATGCAGTGGTGGTTTTGCTTTTAATTATTCTGTTTGGGTGTTTTACTCCATCACACTCTCTTGTTCAATCCAGGAGAGTATGCAGATGCCTCACATTTAATCCCAGTAGAAATTCGTCCCTTCCCCCCAGATCAAAAAAAAGGAAGTACTTAAAGAGAAATTAAATGCCTAGTGCAAGTCATTGATAAGAGCTCTAGTTTCTTGACAGTTCCTTCTGCTATCTCTTGGAGCTGTCTAAACTGATAACGACAAAAATAAATAACCATATACAGCAACTCAGTGAACTTCCTGAGTATGTGGCTGTATTAGCAGCTCTGCCAAACAGAAGCTAAACTTTCTGGTTAAAAAAGGCCTTCCAATTTTTGCATTTATAATCTGGAACTTCAGTCCTGTCTCTATACCAAGGCAGAGGTGCTCAGAGCAGGCATGAGGTTCTGCTTTAAGGGCCCAAAGATCAAAAGGAAAGACCACAGCAACAAAACCAAACTACACTGACAAATCACGGCACGGAGCAGCTAGGTAACATACACGCCAGTGGGACGAAAGCAGTTAATTTCCCCTTGGAAACTGCAGCAGTGTCTGTTTCCATCGAGGTTATAGCATTTCCTCCCATTAGCACGATGGACACAAGCAGTTGCTGTCCTGACACGTGAGAAACAGACATGTGATCAGCAGTCAGGTATGGCAGGTTACTGGAAAGACTGCAGCTCGGCTGCTCACACGATTAAAGAATCGCCACGATTTCTTCCCAAAGCTCCCTCCCTCAGGGAAGCCACACATGGGACAGGACCACTAGCTGGCTCTTGAAATCACTAGTGATGCTGAATTTTTGCAACATAGGAGAGGAGTAGCATCAGCGGAAAGAGAGAACATCAACTCCAGCATTCCGCTGCTGACTGATTTTCTCTGGGCCACATCACTGCCAGGTTAAGGAATGTGGGACGGCAGGTGGCCAAATATTTTACAGTCACCTCCCCGAGTGACAAGCCAGGAGCTTGCAAGGACAGGTGTAAATATAGAGTAAACAAGTGCATACAAAGAGCAACACTGGAAAAAAATGCTTACTTCGGCATCAGCATCTTGTTTTTCTCATAGAAGAGGCGAAGATCCTGTGGGCTGCTGGCCTGTAGAGGAGAAAGAAAACCAGTACATGAAACAGCTGACAATGACGGAAAGGCATTAGCATTTCTATTTCACAGATACTCTGAAGAGCAGAGAAGCACTTTTCAACCACTGAACCAGCATAGACAATGAGAACCTGCAGCTTGCTTTAGACTGAAAAGCCAGCTCTGTACCAGAGTGAAAACACAGTATTTCAGCCCGCTGCCTTTTTGTCCCTGACCTGGTTCTGTCCTGCTCTCCCCTTCCAAGAGCTGAGCTTCATTGCAGTGGGCTCTGATGCTCAGGTCTGAGCTGGCCTAATAGCCTCACCCATAAGGCTAAATAATTGCAGACGTGAGGAGTCCCAAATGATGAATGGCAGCTCCCGCTGAGAACATGGATTAATGCTGCAGGGCATTTAGAAGAGGGGCAGGGAGCCTGCTGATGGGCAAGGGATCTGTGAAGAGACCAGGAACATGGGGGAAACAGCAACCGAATTAGGATTTTCTACTTTAATTCTAGAAAGCCGGAAGGCCTCAAGCCACAGCTCCTATTTGTGCAGTAATATACACAACTGCTGAGGACACTGACAACAAGATTTCATATTCTAAGAGATGGGATTAAAAAAAAAAAAAAAGGAGGCTAGGCACAACAAGAGGTTTACGGCTGAGGTTAAAAATAAAATCTCCAGTATAGAGGCACCGACATATAAAAATCTCCTAACGTCATTTCTCCATTTGCTTTTATGCAATGAATAACACAGGCCAGTAAATTAACCCTAGTGTCCCAGCTTTTCTGCTTAGGCAAAGTCGCTTTATTAAAGGGAGAGCAGGCTCGCTGGCATGACACAGACATGAAGGCTCACATAAACAGGGAAGGAAGACCAGAGAGATTCATCTGCAATCAATAATCGGTGCAGCAGAGTGTGTAGGAAAGTGTGAACGAGGAGGCAACAGGCAGCTTCTCCTGATGTTCAGGGCAGGCTCAAAAAACCCTCGAGCCTTCCACCTACTTCTATTTCTAAATTAGAAGCATTTAAGGTCAATTAAGATGCTTAAAATGGCAAATCAGACAAGCCCATCTGCAGATGGCCATCAAAATACCACTAACACAGCATGGCTGGAAAAGCAGCCACGTAAGATACTGTTTCAACATCACCTACTCCCTCTGGCTGAAGATGAAAATTAAGGATAACTGTGAGAGCTCAGTACAAAACCTCAAGAGAAACCAAAGGGAGAGTTTTTAAAGCTGCTAATATCAACAGACTCGTGTAGTACTCATCAGGCAGTATTTGTTGCAGTCTTAGCAACCTGAGCTTCACAGCTCTCCTGTCAATTTGCACCAATAAGAGCTACTGGATTCTCAGAAGGAAATAAGAAAGATTTCTCGGTTCTCCTTTCTGCAATAGCATATCCTTTGCTTTTCACAGACATAGCAAGGACTCAAACAGGAGATGTTAAAATACTTTCTTCACAAACCATTAAAATGAGTGTTATTCAGCAAAATACCTTAGAGGTATTTTATATATACCTCAGAGGTAAAATACACAGAGGCAAAACCACCTTAAAATTTCCAATCACCGCTACTCGATTTGGTTGAGCAAAACTCCATTTTACACTTTTCCCCTTGCAGATCTTGCCCTGTAATTAGATTCCTAATATTTGGCAAACTTTAACAAGGCGAGTGTACACAGTGCATCAAACAGCTTGGCCACCACGCTCTGTGCGACGAAAACTGCCTGACAGACGCAAGGTCCAAGGAGGAAGAGAATTCCACTGCAGGGAAGTGAAGCGCTTGCTCTCATCAGAGATATAAGCCTTGGCTCTTTGCTCTGTTCATTTCCTGTCGCAACCACTCAATTGTTTCACAAATACAATGAAGCTCTGATCTATTTCAAACACTGTTTTGTCAGAAGTTTTCCTGGCAATAAAGACAGAGTATATTAAAAGCAGCACGCGTGCAAAGCCCAGTTCATTAGAGAGGGTTTCCAAGCACCAGCTTGGATAGAAGCTAAATCCTCAGTGAAGTTCCCTTCCTCTTTGTACAAATTAAAGCGATATCCCTGTAGGGATGATGTTTCTCCACATTCTGCTGTCTCAGTACAATTCCCACTTGTTCTGCAAGGACCACATACAGGGTGTCAGGCTCCTACCCATGCAGGCCACACTTCCTCACTAGGGCTGTCCCCAAGAGTCCCCAGTTCAAGGCTGGTCAACAATGTAAGTAACTGCCTGCTGGGGAATAGAGTCATTATAGTAGGCGTCCAGCACAGACAACTGTGGATCACTGTTAATTTGGTAAAACCAGTCGCATCTTCACGTAACTTCATCATCTATCAACTGAGTCGCCCAGTTCTGCTCCTACCAGCAGGCTCCCAGTAACATACCCACTGCTCTCCTGCTGTTAGCATCCATTTCATAAAGCACTGGTACCTCCAGCCACTTTGCTCACCTTTTTCAATACTGCTTGTCAGAATCATGGGGAAAAAAAATGCAGAAGTGTTTGTAAGACACTAAAAATGCCATTTGAATTCCTTCTTCTAGGGAGCTAAGGACTTAATTGGAAATCTACCTTCCAGGAAGATACATCCTACCCAAGAAAAACACCAGAAAGCTCATTTTAGGCACCTAACAACTAGACCATGCAAGATGCACAGAGCCAGCTGCTACCTGTAGGACAGTACCCACCTGTCAGAAACAGGGATGCAGAATGGACAGCTCAGTTTTCCCCAAGAACAGGGGACACACCAGCAGGTAATTCATGCCCTTGTTCCCCCTCTCATGTTACTATGGAGCAGCTGCATTAGTGTAACTGGGTCTGTTCTTATCTGTCCTTTCTATATATAAAAACAATTGGACAAATTCAATCCTGCCACTCTGTTAATTTGTCCTGAGCAGCAGTGGAAATATGTCGAGCCAACAAAGGCATTCAGCGTAACCCTGCCAAATCCCACTTGGTGCTGGCTGCCTGCATGCGAATTGCACGCGAAAGGCACGCAGGGTGGTGTTTCCAAAAGCACTCAGCACTGGATTTGTTGCACTTGGGGAAAGGCTGGACGCAAAAGCCCAGTTCTCAGTCAGAAGAGGGCCAGAGACATTCACACCTTCAGTGAACAGCATTATCCAGTCACACTTCATAGCAGGTGTACGTTATCTGCTCTTTTGTTTGAATCCTTTCCTTTGGGATTCCTGGGGATTTGGAGGTGCAGAGAAGGGATTCAGATAAGTGAGAAAGAAAAAAAAAAAGTAATGATGTTTTTAGCTCAGTAGTTCTAGGGAAAAGCTTGAAAACCTGCCGCAAATACCTCCTGCTTGTGCAGTTGATATTTTAAGACTCCCACAACTAAGTGGCTGGCATTTAAGGGATCCTGAAAGCACATGGATCAGAAAACAAACAAACAAAAATAAAACCCCTAAACCTTTTACTTTAGCTGTCCATGGATGTTGTCCTCTCTGCTCCCAACAGAGCAGGATCTGATCCACAAACACTGAGCCAAAAGCCAACGGCTCACTGACTACAGCAACAAGTCAATCACCACACCCAGTCTGAGCAGAAAAACCTACTGCTGCCAGGAATACCTGTCCCCATTGACACAGGACAGTTCAGAGGAACTGCTTTGGGCACAGGAGAGCAGCCTGCCTAACAAATAAACAACGAGTTCAAATTCTGGGCGTGAAATCCTCCTGTCTCTAGTCTTCCTCAAGGCCCATTTCACAACACAGCAGTTGTTGTAAGCGATACGTAATCCTAGTATTTATGCAGGCAGAATTAACCCAGAAATAAAGCAGTGGACTCAGTATACCAAGCTTAGAAATTAATTTTTCACTTGGCAGCTAGCTGAGATGAGAACATACACAAGCAGGTTAACTCTTTCAGAGCCGCCAGATCAGGCAGTAAAACTTGCATCACCTCTCTTGCCACTTCCCTGCTCCCCAGCTCACTCTCCTGCAGACACAGTGCACCATGTCTGCAAAGCAGCTGGGAGAAGATTCATGCAAAGGCTCAGACAGCAGACACCCAGGTTTCATGGCCCTTAGCAGGATGTGATGTCCAAGTGAACCTGTGCCACTGCCACAGACAGCTCTGACACAAAGTGCACGTGCGTGGTGGTACATCTGCTTACCACGAGCTGCCCAGGTTTTAAACGGGTCACACAACAGAAACCACCAGGAACATCAGTGTGATTCCTCCCCCCCCAAAAACAAAGAAAAAAAAAAGAGAGAGATTCACGTCATTTAATTATATTTAAAACACCATCTGACAAGGACTAGATTGTTTTCGGAAGGTATTTTCGACCTTGTGTAAATCTTTTTCTTCTCTGTCTCCAGTTTTCCTTCTGGTTGCCACTTGTCTACACAGCCTGTATCACCACGTGGTGGGCACTGGGTCCCAACCTTTTCCAGTCAGGTATGGACAAGAGAAAACCACTACACTCTCAAGGCACTTCTCAGTCCCACTCAGCAAGACCAGGAAACACACTGCTCAAGTCCTGTCCTCGGCAACAGAAACGAAGAGATGCAAGTGCAGACCACTTATTAGGCAAGGCAAATTAACAATTCCACATTAATACAGTGCTCAGCAAATCTGTTTATAGGGATTATGAATCCCATTAATCTCATCCCTATGGCAGTCTCGCTGTTTTGTTTATGGGCACGTTTAATACAAAAAGCTCCTTAAGACAGCTTCACCAGCCATCCTACCAACTGTTCACATCTGAGCAATAGCAGCTTCTTTCTTGTCTGTGTGCAGCGAGGCAGGGAAGGGACAGGAATGGCCCTGGGAAGTTGCCTTGGGTGACCCAGCTATAGTTAATTTTAACTTTGAGACAGCTACAAATCACATTCACGCACATGCACACATCTCTCTTGATTTACAAGCGCTTTCTGAATTGACAGCTGCCTCAGCCTTTCCACACATTCGATCTTTTCTCTGCCTAACCCAGCCCCCCAAAGCCCTATTTTATTTTTAGGCAGCTCATTCCTCCTCACTACAGATAACACAAGCCCTTCTGGTTTGCATCCTGCGAAGATGCCTAACTGGTGCATGCACCAAACAGCTACAGTGCCCAAACACAGCATGTTTCACGCCACCGTGCTCCAGATTCCCATGGGAATCTGCGCTAGACAGAGCTGAAGGCTGTCCTTGCCAGTCTGGGAGGGAAGGCACAGTGAGGATTTTAGCCTGAAGAGGTTAATGTCAGAAATCCAGTTCCTGGCTGCCTGTACAACTGGGTCTGCTGGTGGCACTGTGTGGAATTAGCCTGGTATCTCCCCACCCATTTGTAGATATCTGTCCCAAAAGCACTCATTCCCATTCATGGTCTCCCCATCACCTCTGCCCACTACCTCTCTCTCTCTCCTCCTAAAAGCCCCATCAACAATAGCTTCTCACCTGCTCAGTGGCCATCAGCAAATTCTCACAACAGTCATGCCAACAAAGAAATAAAGCCCGTTAACCTTTAACCAGCTCTCCAACATCTGCCCTAGACAGGCTTCTTTCACCTGAAACTCACGGTTAGAAGGCAATTTGTGACACACATGGTCAAAACAAATAGATGGTGCACAGAAAACCATCTGGGCTGAGCAATTCTCTCTCCTTGATCAAACAAACCCACAGCTGCTGCTGCAGGAACAAATGGGGCCTGGCATTTTGCTTCAAAATGCAAACCCCAGCAGAGGAAAAGGCATGGAGGAAAACTAAAACAGAGAAACAAGTGACCCCTGTCCCCAGCCCAACAGATGTTGCATGTATATGGGAAAGAGAAAATTTATCCAGTCAGGCAAGCACAAAGCAAGGATCAGGACCTGTTGGGGAGGGACTGAAATGTCCCTTTGTTGTCCACCACAAGGCAAGGCATTGCCATGCCTGACCCAGAGGGACACAGGCATATAGGACTGCTCTCCCCTCTCTGTGCGCCTGAGGACACGCCTTGGCAGAGAGCTGAAGGATTCCTGATCACCTGCACTTTCAAAACCTTGGCTGGAGAGGCAAATGAAGCTGACCGGTACTCAATCTTATTTCTTGTGAAACACCTTCTCTGAGAACAAATGTTTTCAGAAGAACAATTCTGTGACATGCTTCAATGACCAATGATAAAAGTCACCTAATTCTTTTCAACGAAATCTGATGCCCCAAGGTTGTGTGTGAGCTACTAAGCTAAGAACATCTATGATAACGTCACCATGTTAAATAACTAAATCGTTTGAATGAGTAAAGTATCAAGGTGCCTTTTGAGAGTAAAAGGCACCGAGTTACAAGACAGAACAAGTGCAAGGCTCTCCTATGCATGCAGAGTCAAAACTTGCTTTCTCCACCCCCACTTTTTTTGATTAATGCAGAAGTATTTATTTTTTATCCTCTCAAAGATACCAACACTGACAAGTGGATGCAGCCAGTGAACAGGAGTCATTCAGGAGTTTCAGTGTACTTTGTAGGGGTGTTCATAAAAAAAATAAATATGCAAAGGAAATGAGGTCTTGCTCTAAAGACAGAGCAAGCTGGTGGACAGAATATAAAGCACTGGAATGGAAGATTCTTGCAGCAGCAGGGAAAAAATTACCCTGAAGGAGAAAACTGTTCTTGGCTCTAGACAAAAACAAAACATACCATTAGCTTACTTCTGTATTTGCCCACTCTTTCCTGCAACAGATTCAGAATTCACTTTATCCTTCCTGATGATGTAACTGCATAAACATTCAAGGTCTTGTGGGAAATTCTAAAGAGCTGTGCAACTAAGGCTCAGAAAGTCCTGCAGTTCATAAAATTCGCCTTATTACGTGAGCATAGATTTCCCTCCAAACTGACTTTTTTTTTTTGGTTGTTTTTTTGGGTTTGTTTTTTTTTTTTTGGTGGTGGTGGTGTTTGGTTGGTTTTGCTTTTTTTTTTTTTTCTTAGAGAGTCAGGACATGAGAAAAAGAGGGCAACAGTTCAGATTTGCCCTAACTGATTTAAGAAGCTGAAAAGTTGGCATCAGCTGACACATCAGCATTCAAATTTGAGGTTTGGTCTTTTTCTACGGATCAGAGACAAGCTCTGCAGAGCTCACATCTTACAGAAGCAAAGAAATATCAGCAACTCAGGCACCTCTCTTCTATGCTGTAAGACAGCATGGAAAAAACTTGGTAAGTACAGTACTTCCGCAACCACTATTTTAGAGAGAGTCTGCAGATCTCATTCAGCATGGAAGAAGAAAAGTAACACAGTGTGGCACACTAACGACTGGGAACAAGAAAAACGCACAGAGTCTAGATGAACTCCAGCTATATATAAGATTAAAAATACATGAAGTAATCCTGAAGCAACTTGCATAAGGCAGTGATGAATTCTCCATCAAATCACAGAATGCCTTTCACAAAAGATATGCTCTAGCTCATCCAGAAGTTATGGCATAAATTACAGGGTGGAGTTTTACTAGACTGTGTTATATTTGGAAGGGTTTGGCCTTGAACATAAACATTTCAGGCTGGAAGGGATTGCTGTGAGATGACAGATAAGATCCTTTTGATAAGATCCTACTTAATCGCTTTAAAAACAAAGTCAATTTAGCTGCAATACACCAGTTACCACCAAATCATCCCAAACATTAACTTAAAATTACAAACTTCCTCACTGTCCTTCCATACCCAACAGAATTATAATTATAAATTATATGCTGAGTACAGATGTAAATAGAAACTGATTTTTTAAGCGTGTGCCTGGAAAAAAAACACTGCTTCAACTGACTCATGATAATTTTCTGAAGAGGTGACCCTCCCTAAGGATTTATAGTCAAGAAATACATTTCATTGAGATACAGCCCAGAGAAGGAGAGCCATATTCTAGTAACACATCCAGCATTACAACATATAAAGCACCACATTGCCAAGGTGTTAGACAGCCAGATCTCCACGAGGCTGGATTTACAGGAGTTAATATTTTAGATGACAGAAGGCTTAGAGTAAGCAGGTTAAAAGGGAAAAAAAGCAAAAAAGTAAGAGAGTCAGAAACATTAGATCTAAGCAACTCACCTGAAAAGGAGCCTTTCCTGTCAAACACTGATAAATGATGGTTCCTATACTCCAGAGGTCAGCTTTGGCATCGTAGTGTTGAGACATAATGACTTCTGGTGCCTTTTTGGGGAGAGAAAAGAAATCAGTTTTATAAAAGATGTAGCTTTTTTTTTTTTTTTGCAGCTGCAAGAAAGGAAAAGAAGTCACTATTATGTTTTAAAAACCCCTGAGCTTTTGCTCCCAAAAACATGTAACACTACCTTGAAAGGGTCGATTCCCTATTTAAGTGGGGGAAGCAGAGACTTTCATTCAGTCAAACAAAAAAATACCAGATGGTGTTTCGCTACTTTGGGCAAAATCAGTACTTTCCCCTTTCAGTACATCATTTTCTGCTGAATCCACCTGTGATCAGAAGCAGCCTCACTGAAATCACCCAGACAGATCTTCTAAACCAAAGCAAGTTAACAGGTAAATGATCAAGAAAAGCAAGGCTCACACTGCACAGGTAAGCTTCAGCCTCCATCCTGATCTGCATCACTTATGCACTTTCCTCATTTAGCCCAAGACGGCAGCACATTAATTATGCTCCAGAGCCCACTGCCAAGGTCACAGTTTGGGTTCAAAGGCAGATCTGTGCATTTCAGTCCAAGAGCTTGAGCCCTGCTGTGCCTCAGACTCTGGTTTCTATCTCACACCCTGCCCTCAGTTGCTCCCTCCCAGGCTTGTTCCAGAAGCTGGAGACGGTGCAAGTCCACAAACCCCATGGCTCAGGAGGCAGCGTGCCTTTGGAGCGGCAGAAGAGGGACAGAAGGGCAGGCTTGCTAATCCCATGTGTTTATGACAACAGATTTCGTGGCAGTGCTGCCAGCATGGCACTGGATCAATTTTCTAGCTCTGTTAGAAGTAAAGGCCACATGTAATGGAAAAAAATTGTACAGCAAACAAGCTCGGTCTGTCCCTAAGGGAAGCAGGCATAACACCAAATGAAGCCGAGGAAGCAGGACAAGAACTGCACGAGGAGGTCTGAAGTCTCACGTGATGTGGATCATATCAGGGTTCAGAGAGAAAGCTCATTCTGGAATGGGTAAAATACCTTTCTTTTAAAAAAGGCAAAATGAAAAGAACGGCAATGGGCTAAAGCAGGGAATAAGGGCCTGCCTTGCCAGCAGATGTTCCCAGGGCTACTGCAGAAGATCCACAACAGCAGTCGAGACAGACTTCAAACACTTCCTAAATCCCAACTGAAACCTCCCTCCTCATCTTCCTTAAAATCCATCAGTAAACAGAGAACAATACGAAACATTCTGAGATCCCTTGTAATGTCCAGAGTTGCTTAATATAAAAAAATAAAACAGAAAAAGGTCATCACTTGCTTTGTCCAGCCCTTTCAAAACAATAAGCTGAGTGTTTTCATTTACTTTCACAAGGGACTCTGAAAGAAAAAGTATCACTAAAAATAGACAATTCAGGAAACACTCACAGGAGAAAAAAATTACATCATCTTCACATATAGCATAGTTCAAATAAACATCAGGCTTCAGAAAAAGGTAGAGAGAGGAAGTTTGTTTTGCTTGAGTTAGTACCGTGGAAGAGACTACCCAACACACCACCCCTGTGCAGCACAGCACAGTCCAGCCCAACTCTGCCCAAAGAGTAGAGACAAAAAACCTAACTGAGAGCGGATTAGACAATGTTCAAAATCAGGTGCCTACTGCCCCCAGGGCATTTGTGAAAAATTCAACCTAAATTGATCCACATCATCTTTTTACTTTGAGCTCAGGCACCCACACCCTCAAGAAATATTACATGGCTGGCTTTGACAGTTTTATTTCTGATCTGGTTTCGTCATGTTTAATTACACTGACTTGATGTGACACTGAGATCTTGACCACTACCATGAGCACAAATAAGAGATCACCTCCTCACATCCTGGTCCCAGAGCAGAAATACAAGGGGAGTGAAAGGGATCAGTTTTGGGATGCTTTTTTAAAACATATTTCTTTCTCAAGCTACAGTCATCCTGGAAGCAGCTGGTTTGGTGAAAGAATTGGTGAGGGCGGGAGTGTTAGGAAGCAGGAATGCACAAAACATAAATTGCAAATAGAAGCAGGTGAGCTCCATTTACAGCCATCTGCTGAGCTGTACAGCAAAGAATACTTAGGAGTTAGCCAGAACGCAAAATCTCTGCCTGCACAGGTCTGTAGATATAAAGGGTATCTGCAAGACCAGAGAGCTAAAAATAGTCGGAGATTTTACAAAATTGCTGTTAAACAGGGACCTTGTTCCTGATGCTACAGCCATAGCAAAAATGACTGCAAAGCCTGAGGTGACAGCAGGCTTGTGGAATCACTCTGTCTCCAAAGGGCGTGCTGAAGCAGTGATTTACTGAGGTTCCTCTCCAAAGAATCAACACCTCAAATATAGCGAGATGTGTGAAATATCATACCAGCTCTCACTCTTTTGCTGTTTCTTTGCTCGCAGCAGAGGAAATAGATTTCATTTCCCAATGCCTTCAGTTGAGAGGCCCTGGTCCTCTCTGGAAGATGTAGTTTCTGGGAGCAGACAGCAATCAATACTCTGTTTTGTTCAGTTTTATTTATCAACAGCTCACCTGAATGTTAGATGACAGCACAGGCACCTGTTGTCTAACATCACCAGCAGCTAGGACTTTATGAAGTCTCCCTGTGTAATAGCTAGCTTCTCAGAAGCAAATAAAATTTCACGTTTTGGGAGAAAGACTAGCAAAAAACAAAGCCTTGCTTCCGGGCAGCAAAGCAAGAATGATACAGAAAAACCTGTAAGCAAAACACACTTACCATGTACATTGGTGAACCACACAATGTTGCTGCCATCATATTATTCTGCAGATATCGGGCAAACCCAAAGTCAGCTGCAAAGAGAAACAGAGAGGTAGGTCAGGATCAGGCAGCAGTTCTAGACAGCCTGCACCTTCCCCAGGTGAATCTCCCTACTTTCCTTTCATTTCCCTGAACCTTTGCAGCCAGTGAAGTATCCCATCTTAACACGACTTGGATAGCTCTCTTCTCAAGCAGTAACATCCTTGTGCTAGTTATTAACGCATGCTACAGACACAAGAAAAGTATAGACCAAGCCACAGAAAAAAAAGTACTCAGAAGAACAAACTCCCATCCATTTTTCAGAGACCAACAGTCACTTCTTCCTGTATCCATTTGCCTGCGCTCTGAAATGTCAGCTGCTGGAAGCTGGTAAAGCTCTCTTGACTTCAGCAGTGAGATCACGTCAGTTCATACCAGCTAGTTCATCTGCTGCTATCTCAACTTTTAATTTGGGGAACTGAAAGTTCCTCTCCATTAAAAAGGCCGCAAGATTACAGACTTCCAAGAGAAACCACTACTTGTTACCACTCACGTTTCTAGACCAGCCCTACAGAAAGCAGTCTTGCGTTCTTTCTTTAGGAGACCTTCAACAGTGCTAACCCCAGCATGAAGACAGAAACCTGAGCCATAGTTTACCTGGTGGCTAGAAAAGCCAGGGACAAGGAATACCAGGATGATTTACCTCTGCAGGTTACTCAGCATCTGATCATATGATACTCAGAGGTTCTCTCAAGGTTACCAGATATTTCAAGCTAGGAGATTGACGCAGCTGTTTACACTGTCATCTGTCACTAATGAACTGGTACAGCTCGCTATTCCCTGGACCATGTACTTCTCAAAAACACGACGGAGGGGTTGCAGGACACATCACATGCAAGGGCACCCGTGCCCGTAGCCCTCCTGCCTGCGCCTGTGGCTCCCAGTCACTCCCACCTTCCAGATAACTCTGCACTTCACAAAAAAACACTGCAGCCAAACGGGCAGCAACGTTTCAAACTTTTCCACTTCATTTCTCAGCTGAGGGAAAGCACTAACACTTTCTCCACAGCACAGGGTTCAGGTGTGATAACAGTTTTATCTGATTTGTGTCCGCTTCAGCTTGTGAACTGTAAAATAATCCAAAGTCCGCATGTTGAGGGTGATATCATCCAGCACTCACTTCTGAGGGACCACGGGGAATACACATGCTCTCTAACTGGATTACTGAAGCATTTGTCCCAGCCACTGGGCTATCTGTGCCACTTGCCTAATGCGCAAAAAGTTAATTTCTCCAAGATGCAGCTGAGAAGCCCACCTCTAATCTGGCCCATGGAAAGGCTTGCTTTCAGCTGTGCTCTCTGAGCCCAGCCAGGAGAGCAGCTAGTTCCAGGCCTTAAGACACCAAAATTTACCTCAATTCTATTAAAGGCTGAAGACAAAAATCACAACAGCTGCTCATTGCTTGGTAAGCCTGGAGATTACGAGCCAATTAGGGCAGGCTGATATTTGATTTTACCAAGGGACACACTGTTCAGCTTGAAGCAGAGCAATTCTTTTGCCCATTTTTTTTCTTCCCTGCCCAATTTCTTTTGCACTAAGTCTGTGTCCTGGCAGAGCAGAAAGCTCTTGCTCCTATTGCTTGGAGGCAACTAATGCTTAGGTCTAGCATAGGAACTAAGCAAGGAAGATAAAAAACATTAGGAAATTTAAAAAGTGCAGCAATTCTTTCCTCCCCCAAGATGGTTCCCCAAAGAAAGACTGAGGGTTGCCACTTCTCCATCACCAAACTCTCCCAGGAGCGCTTAGGGTGGTGTTTGTATCGGGGCCTTACCGATCTTTATGCGAATGTTGTTGGGATTTGATTTCCTGCCTCCCGCGTAGGAAAGGAGGATATTCTGTGGTTTCAGGTCCCGATGGATGATGCCTTTGCTGTGCAGCATTTTCATGGCACCTGCTATCTGCTGGAGAAAGAGCCTGATGGTGTCTTCACTAAGTGTCCGCATAGCTGGGGAGGAGATAAAAAAAAAACAAACCACAGATGAAAAAATTACAATGCCAGTTCCCTGAAGGAAGGGCAGATTCTCCACAGCAATTACCCACAATTCAGCATTTTTACTTTCACATATGGTGTTTTTTTCTCCGCGCACTATTTCCGAATGATTCCTACAGACAACAAGGGACAGCATTTGCATTCCCGACTTATTTTGTGGTCAGGACTGTTTTCAGCCCCCAGTCTCTCATGGTGAACTCGGGCCAGTGGCAGGAACTAACTTTGGGTTATCAACTGGGTCCAGAAAGCAATGTTTGGTGAGGTTTAAGGCTTCCCACAGCACAAAAAAAAAAAATAAAAATCTGCAAATATGGAAGCTCTGAACTGCACTCTTCTGAGATGTGAGCTTCCCAAGAACAGTGGTGTGAAAATAAATATTGAAGGGATTAAAATAACGTTCAACCGGCTCTTCTAATCAGAGCAATGCGACATCAGCTCTCGTTATTTTAAGAGCTATATGTATGA